CGTCGCCCATCGTTGTCGTTCGTCGTCGTCGTCGTAGTCGTCGTCGTCAATTGTCGTCGTTGCCGTTCTCCTCGTCCGTCGTCGTTCGTCGTCGCAATCGTCGTCGTTGTCAGCGTCGTCGTCGGTGGACGCTGGTCGGTCGTCCACAGTCATCGTCGTCCACACTCATCGTCGTCATTGTCGTCGTCGTCGTCGTCGGCGTCCGTCGTTCGTCGACCGTCGCTCGTCGTCGCTGCAGTCACCGACGTCATCGTCGTCGTCGGTGTCGTCGTCGTCGTCGTCGTCGTCGTCGTCGTACTCGTCGTCGTCGTTTTTGGCCGTCGTCGTCGTCATCGTCGTCGTCGTCGTCGTCCGCTGTCGTGGTCGTCGTTCTCGGCGTCGTAGTCGGCGACGGTCATCATCGACCGTCGTCGTCCGTCGTCGTTGACCGTCGTCGTCGTCGTCGTCGTCGTCGTCGTCGTCGTCGTCGTCAGCGTCGATCGGTTGACCGAGCGTCGAAGAAATTTGTGAGATGAGTCTCACTTCTGAAGAGCTGTCAGTGCTGACCTCCCCACAATGGTGCCCATGGTGATTTTCCCGAACCATCCTGCGGAATTGGGTCCTCGTTTTGAATCCGAAGCGCCGTGCTCCACCTATCCTCCCCCTCCTCCCTCCCCTTTCTCCTATCCCTCCTTCTGCCCGCCGCATGTCCTCATCGTCGTCATCCTCATGGTCACCCCTCACACGTTTCGTGGCAAAATATGGGGCTCCACCTAGAACACCAACGTTCAAGTTTACATGCCGCCGCCCCATCCATGTCGGCAAACCCCTCACACGTTTCGTGGCCCCCACGTGGAGCTTCACCTACGATTCCTATGTCAAAGATTGCATGCCGCCACCCCGCCCTGTCGGCACACCAATCGCACTTTTCGTGGCCCCGTAGGGAGCTCCACCGCAGGCCCCAGTCACAAAAAGTGCATGCCGCCGTCGCACCACTCGCACGTTGGTGGTCTGATAGGTAACTCCACGAAAGGCCGCAATGTCAAAGTTTGCATGCCGCCGCCCCGCCCACTTCGGCACACCCCTCACACGTTTCTTTGCCGCACGGGGAGCTCCACATCAGGCCCTAGAAGCAAAGCTTGCATGCCGCCGCCCCTCCTATCCCTGCACTCCCTTAGCACGTTTCGTGGCCTATAGGGAGCTCCACCTAAAGCCCCAATGCCAAGGTTCCATGCCGCTCGGAACACCCCTCACACATTTCGTCGCCCACTAAGGAGCTCCACCTGCGGCCCCAACGGCAAACTTTGGATGCTGGCGCCCCGCCCAATGCGGCACACCCATCACACGATTCGTGGTCCCAGTGGGACCTCAACCTAAGGCCTCAGCGGCAAAACTTGCATGACGCCGCCCGCCCATGTCGGCACGTTCCTCATACGTTTCGCGGCCCCAAAGAGAGCTCCACTGGAGGCCCCAAACGCCCAAATTTGCATGCCGACGCCCGCCCAACCGGCACATTCCTCACACGTTCCGTGGCCCGGGGGGCCCAAGACCACACTTTGAGCAGGAACATCTTCCCCGACGTACGACAGGGTACAGTCAAACTTCATAGTAAGGACGCACGGATGTTCTTAGGGTGCCCTTGCGTCCTTGCCTCTGCGGCCCGTCCTTCGCGGTTTTCATTGGCCAGCTCTTCAGGGTGTTGGCAGTCCGCCGCCCAAAAAGTGTCAACTTCGGCGTCCGACGCCCTTGCGCCCTTGCCGCCCGTCCTTACATTAGATTTCGGCTGTAAGCCCGGGGGGAAGGCGCTTCAATTGAATTAGCATGGCGAAGGACTCATCTTTATGCAGTTGCGAGTGAAGCAGGACATGGAGCTCTCTTCATATGTGGCAGGTCGCGAGAGGCGGCTAGTGGCTAGTGCGGATAGTGGCTACAACAGTAATGGCCCCCGTCCTTTCGATTCATTCAGGAATCCCGCTCACGCCTGGGTTTCTGGCGATTTACTCAGGGCGTCGCTGTCGAGGTGCAGGAATCGCGCTCTCGCGCGAATTCACTTTGCACGTCACTCAAGAATCGTGAATCGCGTGTAACTTCTTCACACTTTACGGAAGTCGCTTCAAGTCCCCGCCCGCCTGACCAAACAATTCGGGGCCGCCCGCCCGACCCGCCCGTGAATGTCTGCCCGCCCGACCCGCCTGCCACGGTCCGCGCGCTTGCCTGTTTGGAAACCCACCTGCCCGCTTGAATTTGAGCAGGGACCGACCGTCCCGGCATTCCTATAGCCCTACCACGAAATGTTCTCAGAACCCCAATTATGTTCTCAGAACAAAAGCAATGTTCTTAGAACGTACACCCGATGTGACAAGACAAGACAGACTCCGCCAGAAATGTTCTAAGAACACTTCGTGGAAACCACAAAACAAGTTTTTAGAACATTGTTTGGTGGTAGGGTATAGGCGAGCCAGGACGCTTCGCCACTGCTTGATGAATGTTCCGCCCGACCCGCCCGTTAGGGCCCACCCGCCCAGCGCACCTGTTGGGGTCCGCCCGCCCGACTCGCCCGTTCGGGCCCGCCTGCCCGCCCCGCGAGTGAGGGTTCGCTACCTCACTTGCTTTCGGTCGGGCATATCCTCCTACAGGCGGATTGTTGACGAAAAATTGAAGATAGTCGCAACATGTTCAAACATAGCGAAGAATAGTCCAAAAGTCGTCCACCGACTATTTTTCCCCAACCGGTGCTTGCACTGAAGGGATCTTAGCGGACATTGGAAGATTCGGCGAAAACTTCCCGCCGATTTTGGTAGCCGGCTGGGTTCCCGGGTTCCCGGTTCCGGGTTTCCGGGTTCTTGGTCACTTGTTCCGGGCCGATTTCGGTGGGTTCTGGGTTCCCGGGGTCCCGGTCGACCCCTCTTTATCGATCCCAGTTCAAACCATCCATTGATTGGGGCTTTTCTCTGGTGTAATTGAACTATTTTTGAATATTCCTCCTGTAAAGGGAAAGGCCCGACTCAACGCTTGCTGGAAGCCCGCCCCTGTCCCGCCCGCCCCGACCCGCCTGTCAGGGCCTGCCCTCTCCCAACTCGCCCTGCTGGTGTCCGCCCGCCCGAGGGAGGGAGGAGGGGGGAGGGAGGAGGGAGGAGGGAGGAGGGGGAGGAGGAGGAGGAGGAGGAGGAGGAGGAGGAGGAGGAGGAGGAGGAGGAGGAGAAGGACGAGGAGGAGGAGGATGAGGAGGAGGAGGAGGAGGAGGAGGAGGAGGAGGGAGGAGGGGAGCAGGACGAGGAGGAGGAGGAGGGAGGAGGAGGGAGGAGGCGGAGGGAGGAGGAGAAGGGGGAGAAGAGAAAAGGGGAGGAGGGGGACAGAAGGGGGAGCCTTTCTGGGCCCTTTGGGGGGCCTCGTCGCCAAGGCCAAATGCGCTGCGAAGTCCTGGTCAGGGCGCGCCCCAAGCTGGGCCCTGTGGCGGATCACTCGGAAGAGCCTGCGAGTCGCTGGGGTGCCGTGGAGGGTCAAGACAAGTCTCCTCCGGCCAGCCTGGCGAGGATCGTCGATCTTGAGCATGGCCGTGGCCGCGTCTGCGCCACCTGAGGGGTGACTCAAGCTACCGCCGTGCCGCTCAACGGCTCTTCTTTTCGCCTTTCTTTCCCACCTCCCCTGGCGCCGCACACCTCTCGAGACATGTCTCGTCTACAATCCTCGTGCTTTCTTGGCCACGTGAATGTTGAATATCCGGTCGCTTCCTCCTCCTCCTCCTCCTCCTCCTCCTCCTCCCTTCGTTTTCCTCTCGTTTGTTTACCAAACCTTGAGATAGCCAGCCGAATCTGCGCACCTCATCCTTCGGAGCTGGCCAAAAAGTGCAGAAGCGTAGAACAATTGCCCTGTCGACGAACCCATTCAACGCGCGTGGAAAATACCAACCAGACCTCTCATTGCACAAGCACTCGCTATGGAGTTCTGCAGTGCCCCTGTGAACTTCGCTGGATAACGTCGGACCAGGCTCAGCGCGCACTCGCGCGACTCAAATTATGCACGGGAAGCATACAATGCAGGCGGCGCGGACCACGAGGGCGAGGGCGGGGGAAGCAAGAGGAGGGACCATTTGAGGAACGGTTCGTAGGCACAAATTGCCTATGGGCAACCTCACCTCTGAGAGCAATGACAATAGTAGGACACCTGCCGACAGCAGCGGCCGACAAAGGTGGGGGGTGATCAGAAGGCCCGATGGTCAACCTCACCGTTAAGCCACACCCCTGCCGGACCTCCCGAACGCACACGAAAGCGGCGACGGTTTCGCAATGGGCAGCCCGCACCAGCAGCGGACTCTCTGGGAACAGGAAGCCGTTTCTATCACTGGAGCCTTGGGTGTGCCGAAATGGACCCGAGGAGCCATGCGGACGCTACTACTGGGGCCTTCAACTCCCTGTGGGGCCACGAAGCGCGTGAGGGGTGTGCCAAAATGGGCCCGAGTAACCATGCGGACGCTGCCACTGGGGCCTTCGGTGCAGCTCGCTGTGGTGCCACGAAAGGTGTTAGGGGTGTCGAATTGACCCGAGGTGCCATGTGGACGCTACTACTGGGGCCTTCACCTCCCTGTGGGGCCACGAAACGTGTTAGGGGTGGGCCAGAATGGGCCCGAGGAACCATGTGGGCGCAGCCACGGGGGCCTTCAGTGGACCTCGCTGTGGGGCCACGAAGCGTGTGAGGGGTGTGCCAGGATGGGCCCGAGTAGCCATGCGGATGCTACCACTGGGGCCTTCGGCGGAGCTCCTTATGAGGCCACGAAGCGTGAGGGGCGTGCCAGAATGGGCCCGAGGAGCCATGCGGACGCAGCCACTTGGGCCTTCGGTTGAGCTCGCTGTGGGGCGACGAAACGTGTTAGGGGTGGGCCAGAATGGGCCCGAGTAACCATGCGGACGCTGCCACTGGGGCCTTCGGTGCAGCTCGCTGTGGTGCCACGAAACGCGTTAGGGGTGTCGAAATGGACCCGAGGAGCCATGCGGACGCTACTACTGGGGCCTTCACCACCCTGTGGGGCCACGAAGCGTGTTAGGGGTGGGCCAGAATAGGCCCGAGGAACCATGCGGACGCTGCCACTGGGGCCTTCAGTGGAGCTCGCTGTTGTGCCACGAAGCGTGTTAGGGGTGTCGAAATGGACCCGAGGAGCCATGCGGACGCTACTACTGGGGCCTGCACCTCCCTGTGGGGCCACGAAACGTGTTAGGGGTGGGCCAGAATGGGCCCGAGGAACCATGTGGGCGCAGCCACGGGGGCCTTCGGTGGACCTCGCTGTGGGGCCACGAACCGTGTGAGGGGTGTGCCAGGATGCACCCACGTAGCCATGCGGACGCAGCCACTGGGGCCTTCGGCGGAGCTCCCTATGAGGCCACGAAGCGTGAGGGGCGTGCCAGGATGGGCCCGAATAACCGTGCGGACGCAGCCACTTGGGCCTTCGGTTGAGGTCGCTGTGGGGCGACGAAACGTGTAGGGGTGGGCCAGGATGCACCCGCGTAACCATGCGAACGCTACTACTGGGGCCTTCGGTGGAGCTCGCTGTGGTGCCACGCAACGTGTTAGGGGTGTCGAAATGGACCCGAGGTGCCATGTGGACGCTACTACTGGGGCCTGCACCTCCCTGTGGGGCCACGAAACGTGTTAGGGGTGGGCCAGAATGGGCCCGAGGAACCATGTGGGCGCAGCCACGGGGGCCTTCGGTGGACCTCGCTGTGGGGCCACGAAGCGTGTGAGGGGTGTGCCAACATGGACCCGAGTAACCATGCGGACGCTACCACTGGGGCCTTCGGCGGAGCTCCCTATGAGGCCACGAAGCGTGAGGGGCGTGCCAGAATGGGCCCGAGTAGCCATGCGGACGCAACCACTTGAGCCTTCGGTTGAGCTCGCTGTGGGGCGACGAAACGTGTTAGGGGTGGGCCAGAATGGGGCCGAGTAACCATGCGGACGCTACTACTGGGGCCTTCGGTGGAGCTCGCTGGGGTGCCACGAAACGTGTTAGGGGTGTCGAAATGGACCCGAGTAGCCATGCGGACGCTACTACTGGGGCCTTCACCTCCCTGTGGGGCCACGAAACGTGTTAGGGGTGGGCCAGAATGGGCCCGAGGAACCATGTGGGCGCAGCCACTGGGGCCTTCGGTGGACCTCGCTATGGGGCCACGAAACGTGTGAGGGGTGTGCCAGCATGGACCCGAGTAACCATGCGGACGCTACCACTGGGGCCTTCGGCGGAGCTCCCTATGAGGCCACGAAGCGTGAGGGGCGTGCCAGAATGGGCCCGAATAGCCATGCGGACGCAACCACTTGGGCCTTAGGTTGAGCTCGCTGTGGGGCGACGAAACGCGTGAGGGGTGTGCCAGAATGGGGCCGAGTAACCATGCGGACGCTACCACTGGGGCCTTTGGTGGAGCTCGCTGTGGTGCCGCGAAACGTGTTAGGGGTGTCGAAAAGGACCCGAGTAGCCATGCGGACGTTACTACTGGGGCCTTCACCTCCCTGTGGGGCCACGAAACGTGTCAGGGGTGGGCCAGAATGGGCTCGAGGAACCATGCGGGCGCAGCCACGGGGACCTTCGGTGGACCTCGCTGTGGGGCCACGAAACGTGTGAGGTGTGTGTGCCAGAATTGACCTGAGTAACCATGCGGACGCTACCACTGGGGCCTTCGGCGGAGCTCACTATGATGCCACGAAACGTGTAAGGGGTGTGCCAGGATGGGCCCGAGTAACCATGCGGACGCAGCCACTTGGGCCTTCGGTGGAGCTCGCTATGGGACCACGAAGCGCGTGAGGGGTGTGCCAGAATGGGGTCGAGTAACCATGCGGTCGCAGCCACTTGGGCCTTCGGTGGACCTCCCTGTGGGGCCACGGAAAATGTGAGGTGTGTGTGCCACAATGAGACCGAGTAACCATCCGGACGCTACCACTGGGGCTTTCGGTGTAGCTCTGGAAATTTGTTGTTGTTGATGATGATGCTGCTGTTGATGCTGATGGTGATGATGATGCTGAGGATGATGCTGATGATGACGATGCTGTCGCTGGTGATGGTGATAATGGTGATAGTGATGATGATGATGATGATGATGATGATGATGATGATGATGATGATGATGATGATGATGATGACGATGATGGTGGTGGTGCTGGTGGTGTTTTTGATGATAGTGATAACGATGATGCTGACGCGGATGACGCGCGGCGCTGCGAATTCAAAACGAGGACCCAACACACAGGAGGGTTGGGAATGAATGATGATATGAACTGTGAACAAGAGCGAGAGACATGCACATGTCTCTGCCTTACTCCTCCTCCTCCTTCTCCTCCTTCTCCGTCCAATTATCACTCTCTTCCTTCTTCTCATCCACCCCTCCTACTCCTCCTCGTCGTCGTCCTCTTCCTCCTCCTCCTCCTCCTCCTCCTCCTCCAGTCTCTGGGCCCACCGCCCGAAAACCTTGGGTGACTCTCCCAAACCTCCTGGTGCTCTGCCCCCAGAACCTTCCAGGCGCCCCGAGAGGATCCCCAGCAACCTCAGACTCTCCCTCCTCCTCCTCCTCCTCCTCCTCCTCCTCCTTCTCCTAGTCCTTCTCCTTCTCCCCTTCCCCTGCCCTTTTCAGGGGAAGGATGACGACGAAGCCAACGCTAACGCTAACGGCGATGACGACGAGCAGACTTCCCAAGACTGACCCACAAACCCATCCTGGACCGCGCCCCGACCACGATCCCAAAGCGGATCAGGCCGCGGTGACGAGGAAGCCTCCACGGGACGCCAGAAATTCCAAAGACCTGACGACCGACGGCGGCGACTGGCCATCGCTCGGACGTCCATTCCCTGTGCTTTTTCGGTTTCGTGCGTGGCTTTTTCGCCAAATGCTCCTCGATGGTCCTCGCCGAAGGAAAATGCACACGTCCGAGCGATGCCAAGGCGACGGTGACGACGACGACCGCCATTCTTTTGGCCGCCGAGACCGCGCGGTGTGGCCTGCGGAGAGCTTTCCGGTCATGCTGAGGGTGAGGCCGAACACGCCTGCCTCCTTCGGGGCAGGGCCCACCGGATGACGAGGACGAGGATGAGGACGAGGAGGAGGAGAAGGAGGAGGAAAGCGAGGAGGAGGAGGATGAGGAGGAGGAGGAGGAGGAAAGCGAGGAGGAGGAGGATGAGGAGGAGGAGGAGAAAAGGGAGGAGGAGGAGGAGGAGGAGGAGCAGGAGGAGGAGGAGGACGACGAGGACGAGTGGGGAGAGAGATTTTTTCCTGATTTTCGGCCTCCTCCTGGGACCCTGGTTCTCACCTTAGCGCACATTCGTTTTAAAGAATGTGTGCAACAATTACGTCTGTTCGCCGTGCTGAAGTCCCAGAAATGGCGTTCCGGCACGATTCAGGGTCGTCAAGACGCAACACGGAACAGTCAAGCTGATCCGTGGCGTTGAAATCCCGAGAACAATGTTTTGGCATGCTTCAGGGTCTTCAAACGGTTGTCTTCCAACGAGGCAGTTCCATCAAGGGAAATCAACAGTTGTAGGGGCCTATGAAGGGGGAGATTGGAGGGAGGGTTTATTCTAACATCGTTTATGGCTCCTGGGTTTACTCTGGTCCTCCTCCTCCTCCTTTCACTCCTCCTCCTCCTCCTCCTCCTCCTGCCCCCCTTATCCTCCTGCTGCTCCTCCTCCCCCTGCTGCTCTTCCTCCTCTTCCTCCTCCTCCTCCTCCTCCTCCTGCTCCTGCTCCAGATCCTGCTCCTCCCCCTGCTCCTCCTCCTCCTCCTCCTCTTCTTCCTCCTCCTCCTCCTCCTCCTCCTCCTCTTCTTCCTCCTCCACTTCCTCCTCCTCGTCCTCCTTTCCCTCCTCCTCCTCCTTCTCCTCCTCCTCCTTCTCCTCCTCTCCTCCTCCTTCCTCCACCCTCCTCCTCTCCTCTCTCTCCTCCTCTTCCCCCTTCCCCTCGTCCTCTTTCGTCTCCTTCTCCTCCACCTCCTCCTCTCTCCTCCCTCCCCCTCCCCTCGTTCTGGTCCTGTTCCTCCTCCTCCTCCTGCTCCTCCTCCTCTTCTCCTCCCATAATTCTTCTTCCATTTCCTCTTCCTCCTCCTTCTTCTCCTCCTCCTCTTTCTCCTCCTCTCCTCTCCTTCCTCCTCCTTCTCTTCCGCTCCTCCTCCTCCTTTTCCTCCTCCTCCTCCTCCTCCTCTCTCCCTCTCCTCCTCCTTCCTTCTCCTCCTCCTCCTCCTCCTCCTCTTCTTCTTCTTCTTCCTCCTCCTCTCCTCCTCCTCCTCTCCTCCTCCTCCCTCCTCCCTCCCTCTCCTCCCCTCCTCCTCCTCTCTCCTCCTCCTTTTCCTCCTCCTTCCTCCTCCTCCTCCTCCTCCTCGTCTCCTCCTCCTTTCCTCTCTCCACCACCTCCTCCTCCTCTCTCCTCCTCCTCCCCTCCTCCTCCTCCTCCTCCTCCTCTCCTCCTCCTCCTCCTCCTCCTCCTCCTCCTCCTCCCCCCCCTCCTCCCTTTCCTCCTCCTCCTCCTCCTCCTCCTCCTCCACCTCCTCAAGCGACAGCTCGGCCCGAGCCTTAGCTCGGCTGCCGCCGAGCTGGCGCCACGGAGCCCCCCGCTCCGACTCGTCCTCCTTCTCGGCGTCGGTCTCCCTTCAGCGGCCCGTCGGCGATGGCTGCCGCTGGCGGCGCGGCGCCGAAGTGCCGCCGCCCCAACCGCTCGGCTGCTGGGCGTCGCGCCCAGTACGCCAGAGCCGAGTGGCAAGCGGCCTCCTCCGCGACTTCGCCGGCAGCACAGGGGCCAGAGCCTCGCTGGCCTCGCCCATGCTCTCCGCCTGGCGCTGGAGGTGGATGAGGCGTCAGCCGACGCTGCCCGCGCCTCCAGGCCCCGCACCTGGCGCGCTGGGCGGCGAGGGCGCCGCGGCGGCGGCTGGCGAGGGCCTCGACATGGAGATCGAGGCGGAGCTGGCCGACCTCCAGTGCCTCGCCGCGGTGGCGGCGGCTGGGGCGGTCATCCCGCCCCTCGCGGCGCCCGTGCACGTCGCGGCGGTAGTGCCAGGCCCCGAGGCGCCGCGGGCCGTGCCGAGGCCGACGGCCAGGAGCAGGAAAGCGGGGGCTGCCACGGCAGGCGAGGCGACCCGATGGCGGGGCCGAAGGCCTCTTCGAGGCGCTCAGCTGCCGCGCGGCGCCCCTCCCGCGCAGGACGGCTGCGACGGCGAGGTCGAGGCCGAGCTGGCGGCGTTGCGGGCGGGTGCGCCGCCGACCTCGTCGCAGCCGCGCTGATCCTCGGGGCCGTGGTGGACGGGAGGTCGATGCTGTGCGCCTGCGGTCGAGGCCGTTGGCCCGCGCAGGGGGTGCTCCTCCTACCTCGTCCCCACTGCGTGCAGCATCTTCAAGATGCTGTACACGGGTTCGATGGCACGACGTTGAGTGAGCCTGGCTCGGCGGCGCGCCGCGCGTCCCGCGCCTGCGGACGGGGCCGCGCCGTCAAGCTCCGACCTGCGCGGTCCACTCCGAGACTCCGAGCCTCCTCCCCCTCCACCCTCCTCGCTCCTCCCTCCCTCCTTCCGCTCCCTCCTTCCTCCCCCCGTTTCCTCCTCCTCCCTCCTCCTCCTCCCTCCTCCCTCCTCCACCTCCTCCACCTCCTCCCTCCCTCCTTCCTCCCCCTCCTCGTCCGCCACGAGCGGGCCCCGCCCGGCGCGGCTCCTCCTCGCCCTCGCCGGCCTCCTCCGCGGCAGCCTGCCTCGCCGCGCTCTCGGTCTTCTCCACCATGCCCTCGAACTCCTGGGGGCCGCGGCCAGAAGGGGGCCTCCCACCTCCTCCTCCCGCCTACTCCTGCCTCCTCCTCCTCCTCCTCCTCCTCCTCCTGCATCGCACTCCTCCGCATTCTGGCCCCTTCCCCATCGTGCTGCTATTGCTTCTCTTCCTCGTCATCGTCATTGTCGCGTTCTCTCCCTGTCGCTCCGTTTCGACCCTTCCTCCGCCCTTGCCCCGTCCATGCCGCCAGCCTCCCATAGCGGGGGAGAAGGCTGGCAGGGGGCAGACGAGGGGAGGTGCGAAGACGGAACGAATAACTAAGCAGCAAGACCAAGGTCGAACGAACGCGGGCAAAAATGCAATTGCAGACGCAAAGGTTAGACTGTAAACGAATACTGTGCGCCTTGTTTTCCTCCACCCGAACACCCATCTGTTCACGGGTACTGATTATTTCGCTCCCACGTCAAAGTTGGGCGTACATCTCCTGCCTCCTTCTCCTCCTCCTCCTCCTCCTCCATTCCGTCTCCTTATAGATAACTCTTCCCTGTCGCACTCCGAGGCCAGTTTTTAGGGCGGGCCGGGAGTTTCGCCTGAGATTTCCTCACCATTTGTGATTCTGAAGCTTAAACAATGACAGCAGTTTCACAGATGGAGGACGGGTCGTTTTCAAAATGTGGCTCTCGCCTTAGCGCCGCGCAGATTCATTTTACACTTTTGCAAGAGCTTCACGAATTGAGGGCGGGTGGTTTTCAACATATGGTTCTCGGTTCAGCGCCGCGCACAGTCGTTTTAAACTTTGCAAGGGTTCCACGGATTGAGGGCGGGTGGTTTTCAAAATGTGGCTCTCGCCTGAGTGCCGCGCGCAGACGTTTTAAACATTTGCAAGGGTTTCACGGATTGAGGGCGGTTCCTTTTCAAAATGTGGCTCTCGCCTTAGTGCCGCGCGCATTCGTTTTAAACATTTGCACGAGTTTCGCGAATTCCCATAATCGAGGTACCAGAAATGGTTTTGGACAGATTCTGGATATATGCGGGCGCAACAACTATGTTGATTCGCTGTGTAGAAGTCCCCGAGAATGGCATTCCGGCACGATTCTGGATCGTCAAGACGCAGCTGTCAGGTTGATACGCGGCGCTGAAATAACAATGTTTTGGTACGCTTCAGGATCTTCAAACTGTTGTCTTACACAGAGGCAGTTTCCTCAATGGAAATGAACCGTTGTAAGAGCCCATGAAGAGGGAGCTTGGAGGGAGGGTTAATTCCAACATCGTTGATGACTCTTGGGTTTCCACTGGTCCTCCTCCTCCTCCTCCTTCTCCTCCTCCTCCTCCTCCTCCTCCTCGTCCTCAAGGTTAGAGGATCGAGGTTTGAGTATCGCTTCTTGATTCTTTTGCTGACCGACCAGAGGATTGAAGTCTTGGGACACCGCAGGACCAAGGCTCGAGGATAGATTTTCGGATTTATCGATTGCGCTGGAACTTGAGATGCTTGGACAGCTTTGGCTCTTCTCGTGCCTCCCGCGGACTCTGGAGGCCCACGGGGACCGCTGAGGGCCCCCTTCTCCACCGTGCCCTCGAGCTCCCCACCGCGGCCTGAGGAGGTGAGGGATCGAGTCCTTTCATTCCCCCTCCCCCTCCCCGCTCCTCCTCCTGCGTCCTCCCCAATCCTCCCCTCCTATTACTCCTCCGTCGTCCTCCGTCCTCCGTTCTCTTCCTCCCCCCTCCCCTTCTCCATCTTTCTCCCCCTCCACCTTCCCATCCCCCTCCTCCGTCCTTCTGTGTCCTCCTTTTCCGTTCATCTCCTCCCTCCTCATGCTCCTTCTTCTGATTATCCTTCTTCTTCTTCTTCTTCTTATTTTCGTCTACTCCGCCTCATTTTTCCTCCTCCTCCTCCTGCTACGCTACTCCTTCTCCACCATGCCCTCGAACTCCCAGACGCGGCCGGAGGGTGAACGGATCGACTGTCTACCAAACGCATTGTCAGATGTCTGTTCCTTTCCATCTCTTGCAACGGGGCAGGGCACGGGAATATATCACCTGGCAAGACGTGGGACGAGAGCCGACACATCGGACGCGCAAGAAATAGGGTGACGATAAAACGCGTTGTATGCCCGAGGTGATCCACATTCGCCTCAATGACGCGTCACAAGTGGGGGAGGGGGGATGGGTGGAAGAGAGACCCTTAGATGTTGCCCGCGGCGATTGAGCTTCAAAGGTTTTTGTCACTTTTTCTTTTTTAACGTCCAGAAGCCCCGGGAGTCTGGGACACATCTGGCCCACGTCTGGGGGCGAGGGTCCTTGTGTTGCTGAGTTCTACCCACGTCGATCGATGATCGAGAATGTGGGGGCGTTCTTGGTACAAGGTGGTATTTCCCAGCCCAGGTCGGCGATATGTGCGCGCAGCTGGTGGTCGATGTGTCCCCCCGGCGCCAATCCCGCCCCCCTTTGCAAGGCCGCCCACGGCGCCAGCATCATCGACACCCGGCCGAACCGACAGCGGACCCGAACCCGACCGACACCGACAGGCCCGGGAGCCCGAGCGCGGCCCAGAAGGGCGCAGCGACGCAGCAGCGACGCAGCAGCCGACCGAACCGAACCGACCGACAGCGACCGACTGCCCCTGTGCCTTTGCTGCTGCTGCTGCTGCTGCTGCTGGAAGCGGGGAGCGGGCCGTGGCGGCGAGCATCGGCTCTCGAGCAGCCCAGCGAGGACCCCCCCGTACGCCCCTCCTACCTCCTGCCCCTCGCCCCTCGCCCCTCCTCCTCCTCCTCCTCCTCCTTAGTTGAAGGCCTCCCGAGTGGGGCCAGAGGACCCGGGGTCGGAGGAGCGCGCCGCGCCGCCGATGCATCGGCGATGGCTGGATGGAAAAACAACGGGCTCCGGATCCTCCAACTACTCTGGCCCCATCTACGGCCCCTGGATGCACACTTACCCCACGGAAACGGAATGCCAATGTGGACACCCCACTGACGATCTACATCATAAACTTGTGAGTTGCCCCTGTACAGCGCCCCTCAGAGATGAATATTTCAATGAAGCTGAGGCCCAAGTCCTTTTGGACCCAGCAACATTCCCGCTCCAGGCCGGTTCTTTGGAGGGTTTGGACTGGTCCACGGGAGCTCCCGAGGGCCTTGGCTTGCAGCGGCAAGCTGTGTGGACCCGCGATAATGTTCCCATCTCTGAGGCCCTACGAGGCACAATATATACAGATGGGTCTGGCTTTAAACAAGGTCTCCAGGATTATAACATTGCAGGATACGCAGCCGTCGCTCTTGACGACCAGGGTGTGATGACAGCTGCAGTGTACGGCCCTGTCGGTCGTAACCTCCCCCAATCCTCTCCCTCCGCCGAGCATCTTGCCGTGCTTGCTGCTGTCTCCTCCTCCTCCCCCTCCTCAATTCACACGATAGTCACCGATTATCAAAGTGTGATAGACGTGTATAGCGAACACCACAGTAGGAAGCAGAAGTATTCGGGCGTCGCCATGCTGGCTAAAGGCTCGATTAACTGGCACTGTGGAATCACTTTCGATAAGATCAAGGCTCACCAAAGCCTAGAGAGGTTCACCCAGGGCTCTGAAGCGTGGCTAAAAGCCACTGGTAACGATTTCGCTGATAAATTCGCTAAATTAGGAGCCCAGATGTTGCAAAGACCCTCGGCCAATGAGATCGAGGAAGCCGCGGAGGTCAGATCCCTACTGGCCAAGTGGCTCAGATATTTTGCTCGCGCTTTAAGTTTGTGGGAGCCCGTCGGACCTAAAGCCAGTAAGAAAGCGTTCGCTTCTCGGGACAAAACCGTGGCTCAGCCGATAGCGGCTGGAGCGTCCAGTGCCCGTGTGGTTCGGACTGGTGAGGCTCCTCCTCCACCAGCTCCAATGGTCCCTCGGCCCCCGAGAATGAGCCACTCGTGGGAGTGGAACGATAGGTCCAATCGTTGGCTGTGCTCGACCTGTAAAACCCGCAGCTCGGACAGAATGTATAAGTCTCGCAAAGATGAGTCTTGTCGGAGCTACCACTTACAGATGTCTCAGATAGCGGCCGACCCCAAGGGCCACAAGTTTTATGTTGCTCGTCAAACTCGAAGTTTGAATTTCATTATGATGTGTTCTGGCTGCGGCAAGTACAGTGGATCACATGTGCACAAACTCTCAGAGAATTGTGTTGGTTTCGGACAGGAGGGTGACAGGACACAGTGGAGACTCCTCTGTGCAGGCAAGCACCCAAAGTCCTCTTTCAAGGCCCCGTCCCTCTTCCAGAGCCCTCCTCAGAGGCTCGTCGATTTTATTGCCGCCGAAGCAGTCAGAATCGAGAAAGCCCAGTCCTTACAGCAGGATGCAGGGCCTGAGCGGAGCTAACCTGCTGCGCTCTCCAACCACGTGCTGATCCTCGTCCTCCTCCTCGTCCTCGTCCTGCTGCCGCTACGTCGCCTCCTCGTCCTCCTCCTGCCCTTCCCCCCCCGTCGGCGCCTTGCGGTTCGCCCACCACCTCTTCCGGAGGCCCCGCACCTCGTTCTGCTTCTTCTTGACCTCCCTCCGGAGCCGGTAGTACTCCGGCGGCGGCTTGGGGGCCTCTCTAGAGGGCGAAACATCCACCCCCATGACAACCACCCCGACAGCGAAGCCGTTCACTACACGCCCCCACTGAAGGAATCGGACAGGGCAGGGCTGCTTAGTACACGCCCGGGACCGTTTAGTAAACGCCAATTGTCCGGTCAGGGTGGTTTTTCCTCCCTTGACTCTCTCCGGAGCGGGACGGGTGCAAGACTGGGCATGGCCAGCCAGCACCGAATCGGGAACTCGGATCGAATCGGAATGAGCGTCAAGTCGGGATCGAGCCAGCTCGGCCGCGCCAGGATGCACAGCGGCGCCACGCGAGCATCGGGCAGCATCTGCTCGACGGAATCGAAACATCGCAATCGACTCGGATCGGGCCAGCCTCAGGTCGGGCATGTCCTCCTACAGGCGGATTTTGGACGAACAGTAACATATACTTGAAACATTCTGCCCAAATGCGGAAAATAGTCAAACATCGTCCCCAGACTATTTTGTGTTTGTTTGAACTATTTTCGAATCTTCCCCCTGTAGAGGGACGCGCCCGATTTTAAGGCCAGCCGAGATTGACACCGGACCGGATCGATCGGAGCGGCGTGGACCCCTGGCGGGGGAAGCACGAGGGCTGGAGGCGGCCAGGAGGTCTGAGCTGGCTGGGCCCCCAGACGATCGGTCAGGAGGAGGAGGGAGGAGGGAGGAGGGAGGAGGGAGGAGGAGGAGGGAGGAGGGAGGAGGAGGATGAGGGAGAGGAGGGAGGAGGAGGAGGAGGATGAGAGAGGAGGAGGAGGAGGAGGAGGAGGAGGAGGAGGAGGAGGAGGAGGAGGAGGAGGAGGAGGAGGAGGAGGAGGAGGAGGAGGAGGAGGAGGAGGAGGAGGAGGAGGAGGAGTGCGGGCGCCCTGCTCAACGGTGCAAACGGCGTGGTAAGTGGCGGTCTATCAGGCCCGAGTTGGATAGAGTCGCCGAGTTGGATAGAGTCGCGACATCGGATCGGATGGAAATACTACGGGTCGGATCGCCAACAAATCATCCCGAATCGAATCGAAATCGGATCGCCGCGCATAGCTCTGGCTGGCCCCGGCCGATGCCAATGAACCGAATCGAATCGAATCGAGTCGGAATCGCGGCCCCAACCAGCAAATCGAATCGAATCGAATCGAATCGAGGCGCTGTGTCTGCTTGTCCAACGCGCTTTCGTGCATATTGAATTGGGAACGTTCTTTGGCACCCTGTGTGCCAGTCTGCTCGTCGAAACGCCAATCATCGAGGCTGGTGCTGGTTACCCTGATGTCGGACTGCGTGTCGGAAGCGAGCACGGTGGATCATTCGGTGCCAGACTCCCTGCCGCGAGATCAATGTAGACCTGGCCTGCTGGGAAAGCGGTGTCGTGGCTTGCCGCGTCGTTGGCGGACTGCAGGTTGTATAGATGTCGTGCGCTGTGGGGGGGCAGCACGCGCAAGCGCCTTATCACGCGCGCCACCTGCTTGCCCCTTGGGCATGCTTGCCGAGCACGGACGCCGCTCCTCCACCTCCTCCTCCTGCTCCTCCTCCTTCTCCTCCTCCTCCTCTTCCTGCCTCTCCTCCTCCTCCTCCTCCTCCTCTTCCTCCTCCTCTTCCTCCTCCTCCTCCTCCTCTTCTACTCCTGAAGTCGTAAAATGACTGCCTCGCCCTCCACCTCCTCCTCTTCCTGCGGCCAGCAGCCTGTCGTGGAGACCCAGGATGTGTGCACATGGCGAGACACAGCTGCGCGCAGACATGGTAACGATCGGAGGTAGGGATGGATGGACAGAGCAGGACAACAGACGGCTTTACAGTGACCATCACGATTTAAGAACATCGAGCATTTTGGCGCGAAAAGCGGTGGCAGGCCCCCCAGACATAATCTCAGGTCAGCGCTGAACCCCACCTCGAACGTACATCAGAATGCACACACACAATGGTAGCAAACTTGGCGGAGCTTCTGGGAAGCTGCTGGATACTTTCTGAGCCACAGTGAAGAAGAGATGCTTCTGCATGACAGGGGCAACTGTTCAGGCACCACGTAGCCTGTAGCCAGGGACGCCACCGATAGATGAAAGTAGAATCAAACCAAGAAGCGGATTGGGTAGCAGGAGGCAGACATGATGATGGTGGTGAGGAGGAATGCGAGGCGGATGACACTAATGACGATCATGATGCTGTTGCTCATGATGACGACGACGACGATACTAGTAATGATGATGAGGATGATTAGGGTTAGGTGAGGATGATGACGGTGATGCTGATACTGATGACGATGAAAGCGATGATGCTGATGCTGATGATGGTGATGATGCTGAGGATAATGAGGACACAGAGGAGGAGCGACACAGGCCAGCGAGGGAAGGGCGGACAAGGGAAGACAAACGATCCTGGAAGGGAAGGGCGAGAGAAAACAACAAAGGAATACAATCCGCTTCCCTTCAAGAGGGCTATCCCGACGTCGGACAGCGAAGCAAGCCACAAAGAAGACGGGAAATAAGAGGAGGAAGAAGAGGCGGAGGAACACGTGAAGGTGAATGAACACTCCGTCGGGGGGGAGGGTGAGAACCACAATCACCTTCCCCGCCGCCCGTTCCGACACCCGTGCCCGTCTCATTCCAGCCCCTCCTCTCTCCTCGCACCGCCCAGTCCTTCCTCCCTGGCAGGGCTTGCGGCTGCGCATAGAACGCACTTGGAAGGTAGCCACAGCTGCTCCCAACAAGCCCACAGGGCAGTCTGGGGCGGTGTCGGGGCTGGCGCCACAAGTGGTGCTGGGTGTCGAGGCCGCCCCCGCTACCCTGGGGGCCTATCGAGGCCAGCCAGGCTCCTCCTGTCGCTGTCGCTGATGGCATTAGAACCGAACACGGAGCTGCCCACCAGGCTCCTCCTCCTCCTGCTCCTCATCCTCCTCTTCCTCATCCCTCCTCTTCCTCGTCCTCCCTCCTCCCTCCTCCCTCCTCAATCCTCCTGCTCCCTCTCCTCCTCATCCTTCTCCTCCGCCTCTTCCTCTTCCTCTTCCTCTTCCTCCTGCTCCTGCTCCTCCTCCTCCTCCTCCTCCTCCTCCTCCTCGTCCAGGCCCAAGCAGTAGTCGTAGCCATATTTCCCCCTTTCGTCACACTGTGACTCCTCGGCTTGAGCTTATGCCCGCCGCGCCCCCGGGCGTGGCACCCACTCGCAAGCGCGGCCGTGTAGCCGGCTGCGTTCAAGCGTGTCCTCATGCACGTGGATCCATCTCGGTGGACTTCTCTAAAGTGCCCAGCATCTTCACGGGCTGCCGACCGCCTTCGATGATTACTACTGCCGCTACGGCAGTGCGGCGCTGGTGCACGCGACGGCGTCCAAGCTCAGCCATACAGCGGAGTGGTACAACAAGCAGAGCAAGTTCACGGGGCCGATGACCCCTTCCGCTACTGCAGCGCGGTTTTTGTGTTAGTGTGTTTCAGTTCAGCCATACGGCGGAGTGCCACGAGGGGCAAGACATCTCCACGGGGCTGCCGCTCACCTATGAGGACTACTCCTTCCGCTATGGCGGCGCTGCTCTTACGCAAGCAGCGGCCGCCAAACTCAACCACACGACGGAGTGCTACGAAGTGCTGGGTATCTCCACGGGGCTACCGTACGCCTGCGAGGACGAGCTCTTTCACTGCTGCAGCGCGTCCCTGGCGCACGCGGCTGCGTCCCAGCTCAGCAACATGGCAGAGTGCTACGAGGTGCCAGGCATCTTCACGGGGCTACGGGGCACCTACGAGGACCACCTCTTTCGCTACGACAGCGCGTCCCTGGCGCAAGCTTCTGCGTCCCAGCTCAGCCACGCGGCAGAATACTACGAGATGCTGGGCATCTCCACAGGGCTGCCATTCGCGTACAGGGTCTACCCCTTCTGCTACTGCAGCGCGTCCTTGGCGCAGGCGGCGGCGTCCAAGCTCAGCCATGCAGCGGAATGCTACGAGGGGTAAAGCATATCCACGGGGCTGTGGATTACCTACGGGGACTACCCGTTCCGCAACTGCAGCTTGTCCCTGCCGCAGGTGGCGGCTTCCGAGCTGAGCCACACAGTTGCTACGATGTGCTGGGCATCTTCACGAAGTTACCTTTCGCCTACGAAATCAAGGGCTGATTCGTCGTCTACCACTACCGATGTTCCACCTCGGTGCACGCTCCAAAACTTCAAACACATTCACGGGGCTGCCGGTCGCATACGAGGACATCCCCTTCCGCGATGACAGCACGTCCCTTGCGCAGGTGACGGCGTCCAAGCTCAGCCATAGGGCGGAGTGTTACGAGGTGAGCATCTTCATGGGGCTGCTGCTCACCTATGAGGGCTACCCCTTCTGCTACGGCAGCGAGACTTTGCGCGGACAACGGCTTTCAAGCTCAGCCACACGACGGAGTGCTACGAGATGCTGGGCATCTCCACGGACCTGCTGTTCGCCTACTAGGACAACCCCCACCGCTACTGCATCGCGTCCCTGGCGCACGCGGCTGCATCCCAGCTCAGCTACTCGGCGGAGTGCTACGAGGTGCCAAGCATATTCTCGGGGCTGCGAGGCACCTACGAGGACCACCCTTTCAGATATGGCAGCGCGTCCCTGGCGCAGGCAACGGCTTTCAAGCTGAACCATATGGCGGAGTGATACGTGGTGCTGGGTACTTTCATGAAGCTGAGGTTCGCCTACGCGGACTGCCCCTCAGCAGTTTGTGAGCTACGGCGCCATCTGCACTGCTGGCACGCCCCTTGGGTATCGGTCTAGTCTCTCGTTTTCCCCGCCTCTGGCGGTTAGCATTCGATTCTGAGGCTCCCCGCCGCTGTATCTGGCCTCTCTGTGAGCTGTCTTGCCCCCTGTCTGGGAATCAATGTTTTTTTCGGTGCAGCTTCTCGCAATTTGTTCGTAGAGATGCCTCCTATCACTGTTCAATGCTGCTTTCCTCCTTATGACACTTGCCTGGTGGCCTCAGTCGGAGTCCGTGACAATACATCATTGCTTGAACCCGTCTTTGTGCAACTGTGGTGGACGGCATTGACCGCCACGCTCTCTGGTTCTGTGCTGATAGCATCACGCAAATCTTGCAGCTTATTCGGATGCTTCCTGCAGGCTGACGATCAGCCTTTTATCCCAATCCTCCTCCTTCTCCTCCGTCCCTTAGACCCTTGCCTTTCCCAGCCATTACCCATTGTCGCTTCCACCCCCCCCCCCGTCGCTCCGACTCCCTTGCTTGGCACGCCGCGCTGGAACAGCCTCCATGGCCAGCTCTGAGCCAAGCTTCTGGATGTCTTCCTCCACGGGGAGACTGAGGCGGAGGGAGACTGAGGGAGAGGAGGAGGGGGAGGAGGAGGAGGAGGAGGAGGAGGAGGAGGAGGAGGAGGAGGAGGAGAGAAGGAGGAGGAGGATGAGGAGGAGGAGGAGGAGGAGGAGGAGGAGGAGGAGGAGGGAGGAATGGAGGAGGCGGAAAGGAGAACCGGGATCGGGATCGGGCTCGTCGGTCGGGCCCCGCTCTCAGACGGGACCGTGCTGCCCCTGCAGGCACCCCCTGTCGGGCACGCGGAGGAGGAGGAGGAAGGAGGAAGAAGGAGATGAAAACCCACGACTCACCTACGATGTTGCAAGATGCCCCCCTTCCAAACTCATTTTTTCACCAGCTCCAATACGGATCCGCTTTCAATAAAAGGAGCCCCGTTGGAAGACAACCGCCTGAAAATCTTCAACCGTGTCGCAACACCATTCTTTGGGACTTCGGCGCCGCGGCTCACGGTAACTGTTGCTACCGGGCGATCCTACATTGTGCCAGAACACCATTTCTGGAACGTCAAGACTGCGAAGCAACGTGATCTTCGCGCCCTGCCAATCCTAAGTCGTGCCCAAACACCATTTCTGGGGGCGTCTTCTCTGAACCTGCTGCTAACGGTTAAGACTAATGTGTGTGGCGCTTAGGCGAGAACAATATTTCGAAAACGACTCGCCCTCCATCCGTGAAGCCTTCGCAAGCTTTTAAAACAAGTGTGCGCGGCGCGAAAAAAGATAACCGCATTTTGAAAACGGCCCGCCCTCCATCCGTGAAGCTCTTGCTAACTTTAAAACAAATGTGCGCGGCGCTAAAGCGAGAACCGCATTTTGAAAACGGCCCGCCCTCCATTCGTGAAGCTCCTGTAAGCATTGAGAGCGACTGTGCGCGGCGCTACAGCGAGGACCACATTTTGAAAACGACCCGCCCTCCATGGGTGACGCAATTGCATTTTCAAGCTTCAGGATCTTAATGGTGAAGACGTTTCCATAGAAATGCCCAGCCCGCCCTACCGACACGCTTCGGGGTGCGACAAGGATACTTTCCGCATAAGGAAGAGGGGTGGAGATGGAGGAGGAGGAAGAGGAGGAGGAGGAGGAGGCGAATAGAAGTGGTCTCCATGTTTCTTTGCGAGAGCGGGTCGTGCTGCAGCGTGAGCCGTTACGCCCCTGTCCTGAGATCATTCTTGCGTGCTGGTGTGCGGGGGCCCACCCTATCCTCCTCCTCCTCCTCCTCCTCCTCCTCCTCCTCCCTCCTCCTCCTCCTCCCTCCCCCTCCTCCTCCTCCTCCTCCTCCTCCTCCTCCTCAGGTTGGAAGCTCCCCTTTTGCCACCCTCGCGCGTGAAAGCAGACTCCGAGTGCGCACGTGCCGTGCTGCGCATCTAGGCTTTCCCTGTCCGCACATCTACTTTTGTGTGTGCGAAGAATCTGGCGCCCCCAGTGTCGGAGACGCCTCCTCTGGTGCCCACTCGCGTGAAAACTCGTGCCGAATGTGCACGCGCCACACGCATGTGGGAGACCCCCCCTTCGCGCACGTGTGCATCCTTCGGTGTGTTATCTATGACGCCCCCCATGTTGGATCCACCCTTCGACGCCCACGCACGTGAACATACACGCCCAATGCACGCGCGCCGAACGCATGTTCGATACCACCGTCCGCGTACGAAACTTTGCGTGCGAACAACCCGCCAGCATCTTCAAGGCACCCAACGGTCCAGGGCTGAGGCCCCAACGGGCCGAGGAAACCCTGGGCCAGAGCTTTTCTCAGGAAAGTGATCGACGCGTGAACCTTTGAGGGTCAGGGATGCCGAGGAGGAGAAAGGGAGAGGAGGAGGTCGAATAGACATGCGCAAATACGAAGGGGAGGCGAAAGGTTGAGCGGAAAGTGGTAATAGCAATATTGGAGGGGGATGGGTAAGAAAGGAAAATGATTAAGGTAGGGGGGGGGGGGGGGGGCAGGAGAGAGAGAGAGAGAGAGAGAGAGCGAGAGAGAGAACGAGAGACAAAAAAGATAACTGATAATATAGGAGGACGACTGGTGAAGGACCGCGTTGGGGGCACATGGAAGGCTCGTAGCGAAAACGCAAAAACAACAGTGCGCAGCGCTCAATTCACAACACGTGCATTAAAGTGGGCAAGAGTTCTCGTCGTCGCACTAAAATAGAAGTTACGGTATCCCGCATGCGACACGCAACGCGCAAACCTGGGTGCGCTGGAATAGCCAGCGAGCAAAAACTATCCTGCAAGCGTCCGTAGCAATACCATTGTCGTTGTAGTGGTAGTGCGAGTAGTCGTGGTAATGCAACTTTTGCGAATAATGGTGAACGCAATAGTCACAGTCGTCATCCTACGAGTCGTATTCGCAGTCGAAGCCGTAGTCGCGATCGTAAAAAATCGTCGTCGTCGTAGTAATAGGAGTAGCAGCAACAGTAGTTGCACTAGTACGGGTAGTAAGATTAGCAGTCGTAGTGGTGGTACTCATAATAATCGTAATTGCGTTTTGACGATTCTGGATCGTGCCAGAACGCCATTTTTGGGATTTCAACACCGCGAATCAACGTAACTATTGCAGCAGCAAGATCTGGATTTTTTCCCAAACACAATTTCTGGTAAGTTGATCACGAGAATCTGTGGAACCCTTCCAGATTTTATGAACGAATGTGCGCGGCGCTAAGGCGAGAGCCACATTTTGAAATGGAACCGTCCTCAATCCGTGAAGCTCTTGCAAATTTCTAGAACGAATGTACGCGGCTTATCCTCAATCCGTGAAGCTCTTGCACATTTTTACTGCGAGTGCGCGCGAAGCCAAAGCGAGAGCCACATATTGAAAACGGGTCAGTCTCAATCCGTGAAGCTCTTGTATTTTTTAAGACGAATGTGCGTGGCGCTAAGGCGAGAGCCACATCTGTGAAGCAGTTGCCAATTTCCAAACTTCAGAATCATAAGTCGTGAGAAAGTCTCATGCGACACGCCTGGCCCGCCCTAAAAACTGGCCTCGGGGTGCGACAGGGAGAAGTTATTTAGAAGGAGAAGGAATGGAGGAGGAGGAGGAGGAGGAGGAGGAGGAGGAGGAGGAGGAGGAGGAGAAGGCCCTCCTCCTCCCCCTCCTGCTTTCCCCCTCCTTGTCGTGCCTGCTGCCCCCCTCTCCTCCTCGCCTCCCCCTCCTCCTCCGCTGGTGTCCTCCCGTGTCGTCCCCTTCGTCGTTCTTCCTCTCCTCCTGGGTTCCTTCCCCCCTCTCGGTTAGTGGCGCCACTTCACACACACTAGCCCTGCAGAGTAGGGCTGGGTTGGCTACGTCTGAAGTCATTAGAAGGCCCCCCGCCCCATAATAACCCAGAACCAGGAAGAGGAGAGGAGGAGGAGGAGGAGGAGGATAAGGAGAAGGAGGAGGATAATGAAGAGGATAATGAGGAGGAGGAGCGGGCAACGAAGACCCCACGACCGGCGGAGAAGATACGGCACAGAGCGGGCTTGCCCCGATTACGAATAAGTGCGGGCGGTTGATTGCAGAATGTCGGGATTGCCGTGGCATTATTGCCACTGTATACTGCTGCCGCGCGCGCGAAGTAGGCCATCTTGTTCAGCTTCAGACATATGTGCTCTCGTCGGTGGCATGGGCGTGCTCCAGTCATTCCAGTCAGGACCACGAGGCCGCCTTTCTGCTGGTGCACCGCCAACAGCGAAGTATCCACGGACGGAGAGGTACGGACGACTGCCGAGGCGACGCCGCCTTTTCGGCCTGCTTTGTATGACCCGCTGCGCCCACCAGCAGGGCGTTGACGCACAGCTGGGCCTGCGTGCCATTGGCGTGGGCGTTGCGAAGCCGCGGGAACCAACGGGAGTCTGGTGGTGCGTGGTCGGGCGCCTTGAACCTGGCAGGTGCTCCTGGTTTGCCCAGTTCTCGGAAGCAAAAGAGCCTGCGCTCAGGCACATCCGCCTCGACTGATCCACATGCTGCAGAGGCTCGGGCTTGTTCGGCTCCGACTCGCCAGGCGCGTGGTGTCAAAAAAAGAGCATGGTCCACTGCGGGCCGGCAAGGTTGGATTGTGGCGGCCACTGCGCGCATTTCCAGGTGCCTTTCTTCCAAGACGAAGACGCAACAGCCTAGGGCAGCGTGAACGTGGCCCGGGGGCGACAGCTCTCCTGACTTCCGGCGACAGCCGAACGTCTTCTGCACATTATGGTGCCAGTCCTCTGCACACCAGCATTTTGACCGAGCCTTCTGAATACGACATCGTTGCAAGAACAACGGTATTGTGCAGCCGCGCACTCGCGCGTGCACAAACCAGCCCCTCTGGGGCACCCACACACCGGGCCCTCGCGAGCAGCTGCGCATTTCCAGCTGCTCCTGCTTCACCCCGTCGGCCCGGCGCTGGATCTGACTTGTTGTCGGTGGACAAACAGGCTGCGTGACGTCCCTGCGAATTGATGGCGTGCTCTGTCCAGCGCTGGCGCATGACAGACGCGAGCATGGCCCGCGCCTGCGCAGTGGCAGTGGCCTGCCGCGTGTCGTGGATGTCCAGCATCCTCCATTGGACGGCGGTGCCATCCCCTAGATCAAAGGGCGGAACATGCTCGCGTTGTCGCTGTCATCGGCCGCAGCGGGGCCCGTCTCCAGGAGTAGGCTGCAGCAGTGCAGGTTGTGACCGCGGGCGCTTGCGTCAGAAAGGCAAGTTGCGACTCGCCTTCTGAAATGCCTGAGACGGGGCAAAAGGCGGCGGCACCTGGCCCAGACCGCCTGCTCCCAGTGGTGCCTTACGCCTGCCCCTGCCGCCACTGGATGCCCTGCTGCTGCCTACGCCGCGCTCGGCCGCACGCGTGTGAAGAGCGGGGAGGGGACAGCCAGCCGACGGTTCGTCGCCCTGAAGTCGGTCTCGTCGAGAGGCGGCCTTCTTCCTCTGCATTCTTCTACGCTGGCGCTGGCGCCGCTCTGTGCTGCGTCGCTTCTCAGAGTTCGCGTCCGAAGAGTCACGTCCTGGCGCCATGGTGGCATGCTGCTAGTGATGTGACATCTACTGGATGGGAAGTGAACGAAGACGAAGGGGCAAGCAATCAAGCATGATAAGTCCATTCTTTGATGGATCGACAAGTGGAAAAGGAACTAAGCGTCGGCCTTCGATACCGTCTCGCCCCCCCTCCATCTTGAGCCGAACTGGTTACACAAGCGGAGGAGAGGGAGGACGAGAAGGAAAGGGAAGGGACAAGGGGGAAGAGGAGAGAGGATACCCCCTTGTCCTTGCTGAGCTTGTCTTTCGCGGCCTGCTTCACCAATCCGCGGACCTGGCGGGAGGGGGGCGGGGGCGGGAGTCGGGAAAGGCGAGGGGTCGGGGACGGCAGGGGGACTGCGTCGAAGGCAGCAAGGTGAGGTGAATCAGAGCAGTGCGCCGCAGTCTACCTCACGTTGGGATGCCCGTGCTGGCTCTCCCCTCGCGCGCAGCTGGTGCTATTGCGCAGACTCGATGTCGGGTCACAGCCCAGCTGCCTTTCCTGTGATGCTGCGCGTCGATGCAGACGGGCTCGGAGTCCCATCGTGACGGGGAGAGCAACATCGGGATGATAAGTTTGACCACCTCTGCGCTGCGCGCCGACCGACTAGTTCTCAACCGCATGCTAGCCACACGCTGCCAAAGCCAACAATTTATGTTCGCGTGCAGTGCCGCGCGGGTGAGCGGATCTGGGCGCTCAACGTGACATGACAGCGAACTCACGCGTCGACGTAGACACGGGTAGCGTTTCTGTTCCTTTCCACCCATGAGTGCCCCACCTCCTACACCACTTCTGTGCCATGCGGATGCGCGTTGTGAAGCAGCGGACTGGACTGGGCGGATGACACGACGGATCATGCCAATCAGGATCCAAGCATCACGCCATGGCAGCCGGGCAATATCACATCGCGCAACATGCATGACGGATTTCAGCCCGTCGGGTGGAGGCGGAGGAAGAGGGACTTCGCTGTCGGAAGGCACCCCGTGCTCGAGAAGGTCGTCTCAAGAAGGGCCTGCTGCGGCCTCACTCCCGAGCCAGGGCGCTCAGGGCCAGTGACGACTTCACGCGCTGCTCGAGCTGGTCGTGGAACGCGCGCCGCCAGTGTTTGTACCAGCTCTGCAGCTGCCGACCTGTCGCGTCCGTGGCCCCCGTGCGCATGCCCTCTGCACTGCCGACGAGGTCGCCGAATGTCTTCAGCGTCCTGAACGGTGCTGTGGGAATCCACGGGTAGGCCGTCGCGTCCCCCACCTCGGAGACGCTCGATCAGACCGCAGCTCCAATCCCCCCCCCCCCTCCCCACCCCCTCCCCCTCCTCCCACGCGACGCGGGGGAAAGGGGGGATGGACGGGTGTCTGCTGGCAGGAGGGCGCAAGGTCTGGCTGGAAACGGTCCTGTGCGTACCACCCCAGGGCTTTCCCCAGGACCACTTTCTTCATCCTGGGCGTTTTCGTTTGGACAGTCGGAGGAGGAGGAGGAGGAGGAGGAGGAGGAGGAGGAGGAGGAGGGGGAGGAGGAGGAGGAGGAGGACCCGGGAAGGGGCCCTGGGAGCCCGACGCCAGGAAAAAGAGTCCAGGACCCCCCCCCTCTCTTGATGCCCCCCTTCCTTCATGGTGGCACCGGGAAAATCGGCCCCTGGACCTCATCTCGGGTGTGCTCTGGTCAGAACTGCGAAGGGGTCCCGGCCGTGGCGCCGAGAAGCCTCCCAGAGATCTCCCAAGTACTGGAACATGCCCGACACCTCGGCCCTCGAGACTCCGACCCGAGGCTGGAAAATGGGGATCCCTGAGCTCACCGGCAGGCCGTAGAGGCCCGACCAGTTGTTGTAGCACGCCGTCGTGTTGTGCTGCAAGTTGGTCCCGGGCAAGATCACGGGGATGGCGCCGCTCTCAACCGCCTCCTGTATGCGGTAGCAGTTGGGGTTGTGCCCCGGCGGCGAGAGGGCGTACTGGCTGGTGGCCAGGAGCTCCTTGTAACGGTCGGCCTCCGCCTCTTGGCGTTGCGCAGCAGGGGGTGGGGCGAGGCAGATGGGCCCCTCAGAAGGCAGCGGGCTTCCCAGAACATCTCGGATGCGCAGAAGGCATCTGTACACCATCGCCATGGCTGGCTCCTGGCCATGCGTGGAGGTGGTTGTGGTGTATACGTGCCTTCTCGAATGGGAGTCTTCTGACAAGCCCCCCTGGGTTCCCAGACGGCCGCTCTCCGCTCCCTTCCCCCTCTGGGCACGCCGCCGAACCTGACTGTCGTTCTGGGCCCACTTGTCCCTGAACTCGATCACGACCCCTGGGACCTGCCCGCGCCACCGACGCCGCCGCCGCGGCCGCCGCCGCCGCCGCGGCCGCCGTCGTCGTCGTCGTCGTCGTCGTCGTCGTCGTCATCGTCGTCGAACCCAAGTTCTCAAGTTGGTTCCTGGACCCTCCTTGTGTCCATCCTCGCCGCCTTGTCATCCCACATCGGTTTCTGACAGTCCCGGGAGCCCGAAACCGGCTCTCGAGGGCCGAGGTCGAGGAATAGCGTCCGAAAATCGCCGTCGTCATCGTCGTCGTCGTCGTCGTCGTCGTCGTCGTCGTCGTCGTCCTCGTCGTCCTCGTCGTCGTCGTCGTCGTCGTCGTCGTCGTCGTCGTCGTCGTCGTCGTCGACCACGACCCCAGGGACCTGCCCGAGCTTCTCGAGCTGGGAGGCCCCGCTGCGAGTCGACCTTGCAGTGGGGCGCCAGCTCTACACTTTACGGCCGCTCCTGGCCGTGCCCTCCCCGCGCCCAGCATCGGTGCCTCTACGCCTTCTTCTGGCCCGGCCATAGGGAGCCCACAAAGGACGTACGCGCCCAGCTATGTACATGAACACGGCCCCCTCGATCCGCGAGACCGGCCGCGTTATACGAACATTTACGCAATGCGTACTCTCGAAACCAGCGTGGATTCATGTACATGTACGTCCTTCTTTCGCTCCTGAGGCCAGGAGGGCACGCGCTCCGATCCCGGGCCCGGGGTCGACCTGGCCGGGACCGGCGTGAGCGCAGGCTTGCCATCGCTCGGACGCCCGTCTCTTGTGTACTCTTGCGTCTCGCGCGTTTTTTTTGTTTTTTTTTTTGTTTTTCATTTCTCTTTCCCCCCCCGATGATCCAGGGTGCTCCCCGAGGGGGCCCTCGCCGCAGCAAACAGTGCACCCGCCCGAGCGATGCCAAGGCAAGGGCGGGCGTCGGGAACTTCTGCCCCGCGGTCTCGCGGCGGCGGCGGCCCCCTCGGCCACGGCCCCGCGCTGCCGTGCCCCGGGGGCCTCCGGGCGACGTGCCGCTCTCCGGGGGCCGCGGGCTTCTGGGAGGCCGGGGGGCGCTCGGGGAGGCGGTGCTCGGGGGCCGCGGCGCGGACAGGGCATGGGGGGCAACGCTGGGGGTTACGTCGGGCGTGCCCCTCTACAGGGGGGAGATTCACAAGTCGTCAAACAATAGTCGGGGGACTGTTCTTTTGAGCATTTTCTGGCCATTTTGGAATATTTTTTGAACATCTTCTATTTTTCGCCGAAAATCCCTAGGGGGCACGCCCGACTTCACGTCAGGGGGGGACTGGCAGAGGGGGGGTGCATCGACCTGGAATCGGCGATGCATCGCCGATAGATCGGCGACAGGCCCCCGATGGTGACTCCGCACCTTCCTGGGCAGGCTGGGGCCGTCGGGCCCCCCTCCGCGATCCATGGGCGCTTGGGGGTCGATGCATCCCCCCCCGTGCCTGATCCCCCCGCCCATCGCCGCCCCCGACCAGGGTGCCGCGCCCGAGCGCGGGGGGGCCAGAACCCGCGGAGCGACCCGCCGAGGACAAGTTCCCGACGGCGGCCGGGTGGCCTCCCGGCCTCGTGCCGCGGAACGAGGCGAAGGTCGCCCGCCCGCCGAGCGGCGCCACGCTGCCCGCGGGCGGGGTCCTCCAGCTCCGCCAGCCCGCCGTGCCCAGGGGCCTCGGCGGGGGGCGCTGGACGCATCGGCCTGCGTCGTCTGGCCGGGGGCCTCCCACGTGGGGTCCGAGCAGGTGGGGTCCGAGCATCGCGCCGCATCGGCGACGCATCGGCGACGTCGGCGATGCATCGGCCACGTCGGCGTGGAGAAGCAGCGGGCGCCACCTGGGAGGCCTGGATTGGCCTGCCAATGGGCCAAGGAGCCAGCCGAGAAACTCGGTGTACAGACGCCTCCGAGTCCCCAGAGCTCGGGAAGCTGGGGCGCCCGTACTGGAAGCAGAAATAACGACACAAAAGCGTTCGAAGGTCCGCGCGGATTTCGGATCGGCGCAGGGGGGTCCAGCGCAGATCCCAGAAATCCGCGCGGACTTTCGGAAGTCTATTTTGGATCGTTTTCATCTTCGAGAATGGACGCTCCAGCGACCCAAAACACACACACACAAACACACAAACACACAAACACACAAACACACACAAACACACACAAACACACACAAACACACACACAAACACACACACACAACACACACACAAACACACACAAACACACACAAACACACACACAAACACACACAAACACACAAACACACACAAACA